TCAAAGAGGCGATGGATGAAAAGTCATATATTAATTGGATGCAATTAAGCATAAACAGTATGCATATCCGCATCAGATTGTCATGAACTAGCGAAAAAGGAAGACATGATGAAATATACAAGGCCAAAATCACATGAAACCTTCAAATTCACCACTGCCTTGCCATAGAGGAAAACTAATTTTAACAACAATTGAATCATGCTTCAAGGAGATAATCCAATCAAATGAAACTAACATTAGACCAAAAATATCATAGGGAGGTCTTGAAAACCATTCCAAGCTCAAGTTTAATGAAAGCAAACCAAAGTGGTCATGAGAAGGCAAGTAAATGTATTGTGGCTGTGCTATCCATTTAGCAATCCCGCGACAGTCCAATTTTAGCTATGACTTATCAAAATCAAATATATCCAAACCCAATTAAACATTTTTAAACTGATAGGACACTCTATAGTGAACAAACACCAGAGAAGATTTCAAAACGTGTCTCATGTTCGAAATGAAAGAAAGCTGGTCAAGCTTATAACATTGAAACCTATGAATTAATCATCTTAAACTTTTAACTAAGTGTTTAACCAATTGCCAATAAAGGAAACAAAGTACAAGTTTTGTGTATTTTCATCGGAGAGGCAGAGAAGCAGATTCGCCTGAGCACCGATAGGAAAACAAATAATTTCAAATCTCATGATAAGCTCTTAGTTAAACTCACCACTAATTGCCGACTCACACAAGGAGTAAAACAAGAAATAGCGGTGACATATGAATCAAGGTTGTAGAAAAACTGAATCAGAGACATATATGATTTAAGCGACGATTTCTCTACTCAGACAGTGCGAAACAGTAAGAACAGAACACCAATACTCCCATCAAATGCAGAACCAACTCTAGAACAGATATTCAAGCATAAATCTGTTAAGGACTAACTTTTAAGATCCTATAAATGCACATCGACTATAGATCCCGAACCTAACGTCCCCGGCTCTTATCATATATCAATTGACACAAAAATAGAAAATGGAAGGGATTCGGAAACGAACCTGAAATTAGCGCTTTGATTAACCTGCTTGAAAGAAAAGAAGACAGCTACTGGAATCTGAGCTTCGACAAGAACAACAACCGGAACTAGACCTCAGCTGGCAAGCAATCGACGACTCGAACGACCTCGATTCAATTGCAAAACTCAAATGATCTCCGTTGTTAAAAATCGAAGTCGAAGTTGGAAAAAGGGAATAGAAACATTTTTGTATACTTTTTTTTTTCTGGAAAACTCAAAATCAAAGAAAAACACCAAAAATATTATTCTCTTTTTCTTATTTTATAAACGGACAGATGACTTCAATTCGAAAAATAGAGAAAAAGGAAAGATATCTATTAACCCTAGAACTTCCGCCTCTCGATTTTTCTCTCCAAACCCCCCCCCCCCTCTTTCTTCAAAAATTTCTCTATATATCAGGCAAAGACCGGATGAATGAAGGGCTAGGATCAATTGAAATCGATCCCACGCTCCCTATTCATCCAGCATATGCCTTCTAGAGGCTTCAAATATGTGAGAAGAGGAGTGAGAATGAGAGAATATTTGGGTTCGTTACTTGTCAGGCCACGTGGAGGAAAGAGAAGAGGAGTAGGGGACCATGAGCGCGTGGGAAATTTTTTGGGTGGATCTGGGGTATTGTAGCAGTGGGCAGAGGTTGGAGATGGGGCGGGGGGGACGTTTGGTTAGGGGTGTTTAGGTTTAGGGTTAGAGAAATATTTAGTTTTTATATGTGGGAGGGGGTGAAATATGACCATTGGATTAGAATTAATGAGTGGCTAGAATTAAATGGGACTGTTGGGGCGGGTCATGGGTCGATCCGGGTCAGTGGGTTCTGGGTTAAGGGTTGGGAAGATTGGGCTTGCCAAAAATTTGGGCCTCTGATGGTTCAAATTTGGGCTTCTCTCTTGGATCCATGATATAAGCAAATAGTTTAAGAAAACTTGGCCTAAACCAAATATTCTTTTCTTTCTTTAAAACAAAGTAAAGATACTACAAATAAAAATAATTATTAATTCCTAACAAATATCAAGCCAAAATATTTTAAAAAGTATATCATAAACAAAACTACTTTTGATATTTTTTAAATATCATACTAAATAGGATTAGATTAAAATCATCGCAAAATTAAAATGATATTACTATCAAAAATACTAATATTCTTGAAAAAGATATGTAATAAGTAAAAAACAAAGTGCAACTATTTTTTTGTGTTTTCAAATTTAATTTTATGAAAGGTAGATAAACTAAAAGTAACAACATAAAATATTAATTACCTAAATAAAAGAAAATATTTTTGTACTTTTCATTTTTGTGATAAAATAAAATAGTCAAAGCTATTTAAAATAGTGATATTAGACCTAAACTAAATATTTAAACGCTAAAATGTGTGAAATCTCGGAGAGGGTCAAAAATTACATATCTACAACAAAATAGTAAAAATTTTGGTCAAACTTAAAATAATTATAAGGTAAAAATTCATAAGCTGGGGTGACCACCTTATGGCTTTTGGCTTATTTTTTTACTTATAAGCACTTTTAACTTTACCAAACGTGTAGATAAGCCGAAAAGTGCTTATATGCTAGTTTGACCAGCTTATAAGCTTAGCCAATCATCCTCATAATCCATTATTAGTGTCTTAAATTAAGAAATTCAGTTACAACCTTTTCTTTTTTTCTTTCCACTCCTCTTTCCCTATTTCCGTCGCCTCTCATCATATGCAATCCATTATTAGTGCCTTAAATTATGAGATTCAGTTACACTCTTTTTTCTTTTTCTTTCCTCTCCTCTTTCCAATAGCGCCTTAACTGTAGTATAACAATTCCAATAATGTCAAACTACAATGACGTAAAATAGTTCAAGACCTAATTGAGAACCAAATCTTATAAAACTATTTTAATAGCTTGAACCGGAAAGTAGCGCCAAACCAAAGCAATAAAGACATAGACGATAGACAACACCTAAACTAGACAAGTTGAATGACGGAATATTCAAATTTGATACGTCTACAATAACATATAAACTAAAAACAAATTTTATACAACTAATTATAAAGTATACAACTTATTTATGACTTATCTACAACTTTCATTCATCATTTTTACCCAATTACAAATAACTAAAATATCATCCAACTTAAATAAAAAATTTATACAAATTTATCTTTTGTATGTATTTTGTACATGATTTGTACATATCTTGTATATGGTGTCATCTTCTTCTATGAAATTCCAATCATAACTTCCTCTTTTAATACAATTTTGATACAAATCAATAATTTTATGTAAAAAGAATGTATTTATAACTTAAATATGAATTTCATACATTATAATTTTTAAACTTTCATACAACTTTCAAATAAAAAAAATATAACTACAACAGAACAAAACTTAAATACAATTTACATATAATTATAATCAACTTTAATTCATCTTCAAGTTTCAATCTGAAAGTTCATCCAATATCAACTCTAATTTATGTAGATTGAAACAGAATTCACGTGGAAATGATACAAATATATATATATATATATATATATAGATATACATACATATACGCTAGTTGTCCCAAATATTTTAAATTAATTAACACTCTGCAAGAAGCAACTTAAAGGGAAAAAAAAAAAAATCAGAAATAGCCTAATTTACAACTATAAATTGAAAATTAGCCATACTTTTAAAAGTACTCGAAATTTAACCACTTTTTCATTGAAAAGTAAAATCTGAACAAAAACACCCTTAAAAATTCGAAAAAATCCCAGCATAGTATAGTGGAGTTCGGATTTTTTTATATATAAGGTTCAATCATAATGTGCTGAAATTTAATAATTTCCTAGAGTTTCATCATAATACCCTGAAAGTTTATATACAGGCGCTGCATATAATCCAGCTAAGGTATTTTTGTCCAGATTGTCTCCGCATAAAAATAGTAATTTTTTCCGATAAATTTATAAATAATTTCTATTTTTTAATTATCAGTCCGAAAACTGGCTAACCCATGCTATTTGTACCATTTTAAACCCAAGAGGCAAGAAGCGTGCGATTTATTAGTTTGGCGTCTTTAACCTCGTCAACCAAATTAACACAATGACTGTTACACTTTTGTAACAAAATAAATGCATAAATCGCCCGACATTGGGCTTTATACTAATTTTATATTTTCTAAGAAACGTCACATTATTTATGTAATAAATATTTTTTTTATAAAGCATTATTTTAGAAAAAAATTCTCAAAATTTTGTCAAGGTGGAGATATTAAATTTGAACTATTTCTCAAAACAAAAATTTCCATCGCCAACCAATACAGCTATAATTGTATGCTTGGTGGTGTTGGTGTTAATAATTTGTTTTACTTATTGCACAAAATTACGACCATCAAGTTAAAGCCTAATGGCGCTCATTCAATTCCCGGCCAGGTTGCGATTCGAAATTATATGTGGCACAATCATGAATTATCCGTTTAAAATATGAGTCGCATGAAATATGAAAAACAATACTTTCATAATACTTCAAATATAAGGGAAGGGAAATTTTACAATATTGAAGACAATAAATTTTATGAATCCCTATATGCGTGCACCTTTGGTAATTGAAAGAGATTTACAACAAAACCCAAGATTGACAATAATGATAGAACTTGATAAAAACTCATCACCAAAGGGAAAAAAATGTCAAACCAATTAAAAGTCTATTAATGTTTGGATTCCTTTTTTTTTGTGGTTGGGTATACCCCACCGGTATCCGGTACCTGCATGCGCAGCGTAAGGCTTATTTAAGGGGGAAGCGCTCCTTAACAAAAAAGATTCTCGTTCGCAAGGCTCGAATCAAGGATATCTGATTAAGGATGGAGGGATCTTATTTATCCTACCACGACCCGTATTGTTTAATGTTTGATTTCTCTCGATGTTGTAAAAGGATGTCAGGCAGGCCACGAGTATCTCTGAGAATCAAAACTTGATACGTAGCTCCCCATATTATCGACCTTGTTCAATTGTAATAGTTAGCCCATTCTTGGTAGAGGATGCTATAGATTCACTAGAAATAGTAGTTCTTGCCACAAAAGCTGGATGATTAGGTTTTGGAAGAATCATACTTTCACCCCCAAGCATTACTATGACGTTCGACATACTTGGACGTTCACTAGGGTTTTCTTGTACGCATAAGAGACCAATGTTAATGCATTTTATTGCTTCATCTATGTTACATGTTTCAAGTAGCGATTCATCCACCAAATTGATTGCCTTCTCTTCATTCCACAATCTCCAAGCCTGCGATGCATCATTAATTACCAAAATAATATTATATATTCAGGGTCGGAGGGAGAGTATTAATTACGGCCGGACGAATTCACTAACTTTGCTCAAATTCTTTTGTATTAAAAAATCTATTATATATATGTAAATATTTAATTGTGAACCACCAATTAAGAGAGCTATGGGTTCGATGGCAATTCGTCAGAACCCATAAACTTTAAATTGAGGCTCTGCCACTGTATATGCTCCATTTGCTTCATGTTATGTGATGCACTTTGACTTCTCATGAAATTTAAGAAAGAAAGAAAGAAATATAAATAAACCTCCTTTTGCTTTCTCAATAATAAAGCCTCTGACCTTGTATTCGTTCGCCAAATCTTGTTCAGTTCCATCCAAGCTCGGTTTTGTCAAGAAAGACTAACTTTTGAAATTTGTGGTGTAAAATAAGTCATATATATTTGTTTGTTATAATAATCTCATTAAGGACAAAATAAAAGTTTAAAGTTCAATTATTTCGAAATATAGAAAGATATCATTCTTTTTGGTTCCGACTAAAAAGAAAAGTGTATCGCATAAATTGGGATACAGGACCAATAAAAATTTTGTTTGTTGAAAAAATAAACACCAAATCTTGAAATTAAAATTTTTCACTCACATATTCGATGAGGTTCCTTGCCTCTTCGCATTGATAAAATCCGGTGTTTCTTCTGCCGCTTAGAATTTCAAGTATAATTACTCCAAAACTAAAAACATCTGACTTGGTTGAGAACGATCCATTCAACGCATACTCCGGAGACATATAGCCACTGAATGAGAACAAATAATCACATAATCTAAGTAAATAAGTTTGTATCATATCGTAAAACATTGAAAATAATGTTTTAAACTTACTAGGTTCCGACAATTTTTTTCGTATTTGCTTGTGTAAAATCTCCTTGAACAATCCTTGCTAAGCCAAAGTCCGAAATCTTGGGGTCCATTTCTTCGTCTAGTAAAATATTACTAGTTTTAAGATCTCTATGAATGATCGTCAGCCTTGAATCATGGTGTAGATAAGACATTCCACGGGCAATTCCAAGTATAATGTCAAATCGTTTTTTCCAGTCCAGCAATGTGCGATTTTGTTCATCTTTTATGGAAAAAATTAGTGTCAATTAATCATGATAGCTACTAATTATGAAGAAATTAAATAAATAAAACTAGCAAGAGAAGCTAACCAAATATGAAGGTGTCCAAACTCTTATTTAACATGTACTCGTAAAGTACAATCTTTTCATTTCCCTTTACACAATAGCCACAAAGTCTAACTAGATTCCTGTGTTGAACTCTCTCGATCAATAACACTTCATTCGTAAATTCTTCTATGCCTTGTCGAGATTGAGTTGATAATCTTTTAACTGCAATCTCTCTTCCTCCTAGAAATTTACCCTGAGGAACATTTATATATCAATATTTAGTGAACTCAATAATAATATATAAAAGTAAAGGGAAGCCCAGTACTCAAGGCATCCCGCGTGAATGTTCACGCAGGTCCGGGAAGGGCCGTACCCTAAGGGGTGTGATATAGACAGTCTAACATAATGCAAGCATTAGTGGCTGCTTCCACGACTCGAACCTGTGACCTATTGGTCATATCGGAAGACAACTTTACCGTTGCTCCAGAGGCTTCCCTTCTTCAATAATAATATAATAGTTTAGAAAAATCTTGTTCACACACATGCAATCATACACACAAGTAAGTGAATATATATTTGAGAAAAGAAAGATATTTGAATGACCTTATAAACGGGACCAAACCCTCCTCGGCCCAGCATGTTTGCCTCTGAGAATTGATTTGTAGCAGCTAATATGCTTTCAAAACTAAAACATCGAACATCCATTGTATTGTCATCATCTTCATTAGTCAAATCGTTAGGGTTTACTCTACTCTTCAAATGATCCAAAAGATTCCTTTGGCCTAAAGAAAGTGGTAGAATTTAATGAGTTAGAATATGCTATTTAAATAAAGCCGAACGTTGGCTAGTGTGTTTGGTTTTATTCGACTTTACCTTTTCTATTTGCCATCCTTCTTCTACAATAAAAGGAGGTAAAGGCGCAGCATACTAATAGAATTGTCAGAAATGTTGTTGCAAGAATGATCGTGACTTTGAGCCTTGCGGTTGATTGCTCTGCTTAATTCGAAATGAAGTAGATATACTTAGAAAATTTGAGAAACGAAATATCAATTGCTAGAATAGAGAATTTCAATGTAACAACAACAACAAACTCAGTATATTAATTCCACAAGTAGAGGTCTAAAGAGAGTAGTACGTACGCAGCCTTACCCCTACCCTGTGCAGGTAGAGAAGCTGTTTCCAGTAGACCCTCGGATCCAAGCAAGCATGCAAAACACGATAGTATAGAGAAGAAATGCAGTAGTGTAAAAGTCAGGAAGGCAGTAACAACAACAAGGAAGTAGTACAATCAAAACACAAACAACATCAGGTAGTAATAGAATTTTAAGAATATGAAAAAACTAGAATAACGATATTACCAAAGAAAGAACCTCCAGATTAAAATATTTGCACCAATGATAGAGTGCATGACATACTGAGATAGTATAATTTTTGGATTACGTACCTTGGTCACTTGGAAAATCAGAAGCAGCAAGTTTGATAAACAGGTTTCTTCCTCTTTGATCATCTTGAGACAGTTGTTGCAGATTTAGGAGCTCTTTAGTCCAAGTTAAACAATCACCGCCGTCATAAGCATAAGCAGTACAAGAACAATTTTTGACACAAGTAGATTCACATTCTGCTCTTGTAGCTTTGACTGTTTCATAGTGCTTTGGTAATGTCACCTGAGACATCATCCAAATTCTATCCCTAAAGGGAGCACTAGAATTGCCGCAGCTCAAATTTGTTTTCCTAACACAACCTTGAGAAAAAATATCCAAATCCCAATCCGTATCTAATCTGGGAACGAAACCAGGGAAACAACTGCATACTGAACTTGAGCTGGGATTACAAGTACCAAATGCTCCACAATAAGCATATACATCACAGGGCTGTGTTGGTTGAAGGAAAAACACATTCCATTGATGAGAGCTATCCAACCATGTGAATTGCTTCATTACTCCCGTGACATCAATAACAAATCTTGATGTGACTAAAGGACTAAAGAAAGTATGTGCATAATAAACCTCATTATCATTGTTGATATACGTATAGTTAACTGTTGTGTTGGGAATGTTATATGGTACATTACTAAACCTATCTCCATCCCAAGTACCACTGTTCCAGTATTCCTCAGTTCTATTCCACATTGCCCTAATCTGGCCATTTCTTGGATTAATCTCAACAGTGTAAGGCCCTGGATTAGGATCTTCTAAACTCCTCCATGATGTAATGTATTGCATGGCTTTCGTATGTTTGTTATAACTAAGCTTTGAACCAGGCATATAGGTATTGGTAGGGTTGTCGAAACTTTGCCAGAGTAGCGGAGATGTTGAATTCGACCCATCTCTCAAAACAAAATTTCCGTCATCACGAAGAACAGCTACGACAGAATCAGGCATTTTGGAGTAGTTGATATTTGTTCTCCATATTGGTTGTCGGAACCCATTCAAGAGAACTAAGTTTCCATTCCTAACTGTGAATTCTGCATTAGCCATTTCAGGAAAAGAAAGTTTCTTTTCCCTATTTGCTACCCAAACGATTGTTTGCGGGCTTATGTTTTTGTACCATATGCCAATGTAATAACTGGAGCCGTTGTCTGGTGTAAAGAAGCCCAACTCAAAGTTTTCACCCGAAGAGACAATAGTAACACCGATAATAATGGATTTTTTTGCGCTAATTCTATCTCCAATGGAAAATTCCTCTTGTCCAAAAGAAAGTGAGGAATTGAGGGAAAAGAAAGTGAAGAACAAGAAAAGCATCAGAAAAGAAGTAGTAGTAATTATTTGGAATACCATATTTAGCTGCTGATGCACAAAACTATATATGCTAATCAAAGAGAAGGTAGATATATATATATATATTATGAGATGATCATTTGAGTGTTTTTTCCTTCTGTATTTACACGTCATTGGAAATTTGGAATAGAGGGAATTTGCGGCTTCTTACGTTGGCCGCCAGTGAGTTGGGACTTACACAGACACAGAGAATCTGAAATGTCATTCTGTCTGCAGGCCTTATGGAAAGATAGTTGGATAAACAATAGAAAAGGAGCTACTGTCTGTACGGCGTCAGACCACTTATTATTAGAACTAATCCGATAAAGAAATTAAAAATGAAGATCTCATAACTAGGGGCGGATTCAGGGGCGGAGGGGGGTTCGCCCTTCGCCGAAAAATTACACTGTATATATAAGACAAAATCTATTTTTTACCTCTATATATTAAGTTTTGAACCCCTTAACACAACCCAAAAGTGTAGTTTAGTGGTTAAGGGGGTTCAAAACCTTCAATAGGTCATAAGTTCAATTCCCACTAGCTACAAAAATAGTTTTTAATTTAAACCCCCTTCTTGGAGATTCTACCTCCGCAACTGCAGTCAATGCATACACCCATTTCAGGAGGGGTGCTCATTGAGGTTTACCTCCTTAGTGGGCCTGCCTGGCGCAATTAAAATTTGATTGACTAGTGGGTTTCAGATACGAGATAATAACAAATAGAAATAAAATTTATTGTGGATCAAGAATTTAAATCTGCTTGACACATATTTTGCATTGCCGTTACTTTGTCCTGAGTTTTAAGTATATGAATTAGAAGTGAAGAAGGAAAAAGACACAATTGCATTCTTATTTTTATTTTTAGATGTAATTGCAACAACAATAACAATGCAGTGAAATTCCACAAGTGTGGTATGAGAGATTAGTGCGTGTGCAGACCTTACCCCTATATTATAAGGATAAAGAGACTGTTTCCAATAAATGCAAAAGGAAACAGTAATTGAGAGAGCGGTTTTTTCATAAGAATAAATATCTTTTTTCAAATGCCAAAAACAACTCCACACGAGAAAACACAACTTAAAATCCACCTTGTATCATGTTACCTGACGTACAGACCATTGTACTTAACAAAAACTATACTAAACTTGAGTAATCCTTTTAAATTATACATCTATATTTTCAGGGGACTTCCTGTCGAACTTAGCTAGTCTGTTTATTTTTCTTTGCTTTGCTAATAAAAGAAATTATATTAAAACTTAACCAGGGTCGTTACAGAGGGGAACTGAACGTCGTGTTTCAGCCTGTTGACATTTTGCAGTCACTCATCAACACACTTGGGAAACAAATTGTGTATGAGAATGGAGATATATGTTAACTCATATATATATATACATCGTCCGTACGAAGAATTCTTTATACTATCAGGTTACCTAAATGATATTAACCGGTAAGCCAACCAGCTTAAAATATGATATTTATAATCTTAAAGATAAGACATGTTATTTTATTACACCTAGGTAAAGGACACTCCGTTCTTTAATTATCATCTCTCAGTTCTCAAAACTGAAAACAACTTAGCGTACTCGCTATGTTTCATGTTACTTGATGCCCAATAAAATGTATATATTAATAACTAACCATTGTAGATAAGCAAAAGATATCTAACCTGAAGAATTGTCATAAAGACCTTTTGAAAACTTGATTGAAGAAAATAACCTTCATTTTTCTTTTCACTTAGTTTTAGGCCCAAACATTACTAACACATGGTTTAATGACTTAAGGGGTGGTCGGGAGCCAATTTAATATAATTAAAATTTTAGGATTAGATATTAAAATTAGAAAAATTTCATTTTCCAGCACTTCACCCCCCCCCCCCC